AGGGCATCAAATTTTTACAAAATGTTGCATCTTTATATTTTTAAACGACCATAACTTTGGTTGTACTTGTTTGATTTGAATGAAATAAACCTTACTGTTTAGGTAATTTCTTAACCATTTGTTTAGAATTGCACCTGCTTAAATATATGACCTTGAAATTTGCTTAACTCTGTTCTTAAGCACAAAAATTAAAATAGCAAAAAACACGTCACCTTCGATTTGGCTCATTTTTATATATTTTACTGCCTACCATATTCTTAACAACCTGTGAAAAAATTAGAGTGGGCCATTCATAAGTTTTGAAGAAAATGGCACATTTGCAAACGTATGTTAGCACGCGCAGTGGAGGGGGAAGAGCGAATTTCGCCCCACCCCTCCTGTTTTTCGCCAATATCTCATAATATTAATGCAAAAGTAATTGTGGCTACTTGTCCAGAATTGAATTGCACATCTCATCGTGCAAGCAATAAGAAAATCGGTTCACAACTGTTCTAGTAATAGCGGTGTAAAGTGACCATCCTGTCGCCGCGGCGACGCGGCGACTCGGCAGCCGGCGCCGACCGGCGCTACGCGCCGCCTGAATTGTAGACTGTGCCGGGACGGAACGGAACTATTCCCTCTTTACATCGCGCTCCTTAGCGCTGATTACGTTCGATTCGCGTCAAATTTTGTGAGAAGACTAAGAAATGTACAGGCAATCTTATAGTGAAAGAATTTTGAAAATCAGTTGGTAAACAATTGAAATATGAACGTGTAAACACAAAATTGTGATTGTTGCGTTTCCCGCGTCGGCCGATCCCGCCTCAGCCGGCGACATGTTACTCTTAGCAGGCCTCTAACTGCCATATTTATTATTGGATTAACTAGAAATTCCCCATGCATACTCAAAAATGTATGTTCTTTCGTATAGTGAAGATAAAAAGACGTGAAGATATCGTTGCGTGATAATGTTTTCGTTGAATTTACTTCATGATGCATTTCCACACGGCTCAAAATTCATCGCAAAATACCGTTTGCCTGAGACACTTTTACTATGGAACTTGAATGCTTGACTACGATGACTATGCATTTCCATTCTCGCAGAGTTTGGGATATCACTAATCAGCAATCATTCATTTCAGAAAGTGTACACAAGGAAGCATATCTTGACTCTGTCTTTCAAGGTCACGCGCGGTTGCGTGATGTTGATGCATGAAAACGGGGTTTGCCGCGAAAGTTATGAATGGCCCACTCCAATTTTTTCACAGATGGTTAGGAACATTGTGACGGACATAATATGTAAAAATTACCCAAATCGAAGGTGACGTGTTTTTTGCTATTTAAATTTTTCTGTTTTAATTCAAGGTCAAGTGCATTTCAAGGTCACTTCAATTTAATTTTATAATTAAAAATTAAAGCCTTATCAATTGCCTACAAGACGCTGTTAATATCATTTTGATACCAGAAAAGGAACCGGAGTTATAGACATTAAAAAAATTGGTGTGTGGCATTTTTGGCTATATTCGATGACCTATATCTCAGCAATACGTTATCAAATTGCGAAAATATTATACGTAACTCAGTTTTGAACCATGCCCAGTCTGCCTACAAATTTTCAGAAAAATCGAAGGGGATGACGGATTTCGGTGTTTGATTTGACGTGGAATGCCCCAGTTGCCGGCTGGCCAGATGCTACTTAAAAAACAAATGCGTGTTTAACACTTCAGGCTGACCCGCTGCGAGCCAGCGACCTTTAGATTTCGAGGTGGGTACACTCGGCACACTTACTACTAAGCCACGAAGATAGCTGGTCATCGTAAGCCAGTTTTTAATGATGAAATTGGGCATTCTCCGGGCAGCGCCTCTCTTTGGTTGCAAAAAGAAAATACGCCTGACTCTCCCAGCGCTAGGGGAGAAAAGCCCGGTTTAGCCAAAAAAGTATTAAAAAAAGGAATTTGAATTGTAGGCGGGGAACTTTATCGTGTGCCAATTTCATGGTCCTAGATCAATATATTCAAGATCAAATGAGGTTAAACGTGATCAAATTTGCTATAGTGACTATTTTGCGTTTATACGCCCATAGCTCTAAGAGATACTGGCCGATTTTCCTATTTCTTCCTTTATACGACATTTGTAGTGTTATGAGAATCTCTAGTTAATCTTACCATAAATTTGGCAGTTAGTGGCTTGCTAAGAGTAAGATGTCGCCGGCAGAGGCGGGGATCGGCCGACGCGGGAAACGTCATAGTCACATATTGTGTTTGCACCCTAATAATTTAAGTTTACCAGTTGATTTTCGTATTTATTTGAACATTAGATTGCCTGTACATTTTTAAGCCTTCACACAAAATTTGACACGAATCGATCATAATCAGCGGTAAGAAGCGCGGTGCAAAGATGGAACCGTCCCGCGCCGGCACAGTCTACCATTCAGGCGGCAACGGCCGGCGCCGGCCGCCGAGCCGCTCCGACAGGAATGTTTGACTTTACACCGCTATTACTAGAAAAGTTGTGGACCGATTTACCTATTTCTTGCACGGGAGGATTTGCAATTCGATTCTGGACAGATACTGAAAGTTTAACGTTAATATAATAATTATGTCGTGAATTATTGGCGATAAACTGGTGGGGTTAGCGAAATCGGCCCCTTCCAACGCCCGTGCTACGTTGCACTACTTGTTGCTATATCATCCAAAGTTATCGTTGGCCCACTCTAATTTTCTCAGCACCTGTGCCTTACGTGTAGTGGAAGACAATATCTAAATTTGAGCAAAATCGAAGGGTACCCATTTTTCACAAATTACATTTTCAGAAATAAATTCAAAATAAAATAAATTCAAAATCACCGAAAAATGTAAAAATTGTCAAATTTTACTAGCATAACTCCTTATGTACACGTTTCAGTTTGTTTGAAATTAATAACTTCAAAAATGTTGAAGCTATAGATCTTTCAAGATTGCAATACACGTCCAATTCTGCTCAAAAAGCAGAAGTTTAGCGACTTGTATCTCTGTAGCCCGAGGGCAAATGACAAAATCCTTTCACTCTCAGAGGTTTCACCCAATAGCCAATAAGTATACCAAGTTTGAACAAAATCGCAGAGGTGGCCGATTTTGGCTGTCCCGGTTGACATGGAATGCCCCAATGATGTTGTTTGTCGAGACCGTGCCTCTCTTCGTCATGATGCGGCGAGCCGCTGTCACGCCGAAATCGGCGAGCCCGTCCGCAATGTCCTCGTCGCTCACTCCCCTCAGATCGAAGCAGTTAATGACCCCTCGTGAGGAGTTCTTAGAGCGGTGGGGCTCCACTGTAAGCGGGATGGAGACGAGCCTCCGGCCGGATGCCCGTCCCTCGGAGAATACGAAGCGAGTAGCGTCCAACGCTTTCGCCGCCTCCTCGCTTTTCTTGAATTCGACCTCCAGCGCGCCATCACGCATCCGGTCACAACGAACGATCGAACCAAACCGGTCGCAGCCATCCTTCCGCTGGAAGGGCGTCAAGGAGCTCAGCTCCCTGTCGGCGCTCCGGAAGATGAGGATTTTTGGATTTTTGGGTCTTGGATCGTGCAGCGTTCGCCCGTCGGCCGAGGCCGGCGGGCGAGAGTCGGCCGAAGCCGAAGGATTGGTAAGAGTGGGGGAAGGGGGGTTGGTCGAGTTATCCATGCGAGTGTGCTTGGTCTCCGCCAGCTCGGCCGCCGACGCTCCGCAACGGCGCCGCTACAAGGCCTGGGACGGCCGAGCTGACTGTACGGGACTTGGCGGCACCTTCCGAGGGGGAGAGAGAGGCTCACCACCCCCCACGGTCGGATACCGCCTCCTCCCTTGACGCCTCGCCGAGTCACCGCCAGGGGCAGCGACAGATCAGCCCCACCGACGGAGGACGAGCACAAGTGCCCGAACCCCGCCGGCGACACCTCTCCGACACCACCCCCGGCGGCATCACGACTGGGAATGGCTCCTCAAGTGCGGCGCCCCACTGAGTGTCCCGCCCTTACAGAACTCAGGGCCAAAGAGGCGTGTTGCCCAGCCACCGCGACTGGCTCCGCACGGTGGGGGGCTCAACCTCCAGGATCCCGTTGTCCTGGGGTACGGGTCGGCTCGCCTAGCCTAGTAAAACCGGCTGGTACCCGAGGGGACGCCACTCCCCTTACACTAGCCCAACTCGGCTGTGTTCCTGCGGGTGCAAAAACAACGAAAAAGGGGAGAAAAGGAATCAGAAAGCTGTGATCGAACGAAACGCGGACATCCGGTGAGAAGCAAAGCAAAAGCAAACAAAGACCGCTCATGAGAAACAAAACCACGGAAACCGAGAAAAGTCGGGCCGTACCATCTGTCCATCCAGCGATCAAAGTAAGTCGTAGGCAAGCATGGGTCAAGCTGGGGCCGAGGGGGTGCTACTCCCCTTGCTGGCCGAGGCCAGGGCCGCCGCGGGGCAAGGGCCCAAGGAACCCAGTCCGACAGCAACCCGAGCCACTGCCAACCCCCTGCGGGGCCAATCCTGCAGACAATCCATCCAGTAAGCAAGGCAAGTCCAGGTCAAACGCGCGTCAAGCTGGGGCCGAGGGGGCGCTACTCCCCTTACTGGCCGAAGTCACAGCCGCCGCAAAGCCGGGGCCAGGTTACCCCGGCTAAGCAGCAGCTCTGACCACGGTCAGCCCCCTGCGGGGGGGTTCACATATGACATTTGGCCGACAAGGTTAGGTGGTCAGCAGCGGGCAGACGGGCTCACACCGGTCACAGGGGCTCTGACCACCGGCCGGCTCACTGACAAAGGCATGTTCAAACTTTACTCATGCATGTCAAGCGTTGAAATGCCTAGCGCCTTAAACATCATAACTAGTGTTGGTTATCAGCAGATGTAAAAAATCACCCAGCAAAGTGGGTAAAATGCACCACATGGTACGCGTCGAACAACGAATGAATACAATATCATTAGGCACAAACGTCTTTCTGTTCTATAATCTGTCCTTTAAAAGCGCACAATGTAAGATGTGTAGGATTGCGTATCTGCGCTCGACTTACATAAATGTTCCAGGGGCTAGAGCAGCAGGACACTGTGACGTCCAGATATCCGTCTCCGTCGCGGGGCACCTGGTACTGGCCGATGGGCTGAGAGTCGCCGGCGGTGGGCGGCGACGGGTCGGCTAACCTCAGACGCTGGAGCTGCTCAGTGGGGCTGGGAGAGCCGCGCGCCAGAGCCGGGGTGGCGGGCACGGAGGCCGGCGGCGGCTGGCACGAGTCGGGCCGACTCGATACGGACGACTGGCGGCTGGTGGTGGGGCGCCTGGCGGGGAGAGGGAGGGATGCAGTCAGCTCCAGTCGGGATACCGCAGAGCGGTATGAAGCGGCGCACTTAGGTATAGATAATTAAAGAACCCATCGACCCACACAGCAATGGTCCAATGGAGCCCGATTCAGGACAATGCGTTAAAACTATGGCACAAATAAAGCTGTGTGTCGGGCGAGCACAATGTCGAACTGGTATACTACAGTGCAATACCTAAGTGCAATACAACAAACATTTTATCACATGTTATAGTGCACATTAGAAGGAAGCGTAATCATAGAGCACAGTAGAGTGCACACACAAAACACATCACCACAGATGAAACGTGCTCTACACTAGCATGCGGCGGGTAGGTCACATGGGGAAATAATGAATAATTCACAAGTTCAACCGTACAAAGTTCACAGAGAACGTTGGGTCATGGGGTCTGATGAACTGATGGTGGTTTAGGGAATGATTCATATGAACACTCTGCGGTCGAGTGACCCTGTGCGGTAGATAAGTTTGCGAGCGCTTCACTAATAAAAATGTCATTCTAAGCAAAATGACTGATTATTATAGACGCCGGAAAACACGCCATCCGGTCATTAGACTAGGCAAGCGCTGGAACGATCCTAGACGTAGTGCCTGGTGCGCTCACGATCAACTACACCGGCCTCGGTACCGGTTGGGGTGACAGGGACCAGCGCTTCTGGCTCTTACCCTGACATGTGCGCCTCTACCGACTCTTACCTTGACATATGTCCCTCCCTGACCCTTGCCTCGGCACGTGACTCACCCTGACATGTGCGCCTCCACCTGCAGCGTGGCGTTGATGGAGACGAGCTCGTTGTTATCTATCCGTTTGTACGCGTCCACCTCTGGACAGCCCGAGTCGGGCTGGGCGGTGACGCGGAGCACCACACGGGTGCCGCCGTCAGGTACCTGTCGTCGGCAGTCAGCGGCAAGCGTCAGCAACGCACGTCAAGATCAGGTCAGGATTGGAATATCATCAGGTTGTATTCAAGTCATCAACGGTAAGACTATCGATAAGCCAACGTATCCCGCAAAATTATCTTACTGCTGAGCCACTGTCTCACGCCAAACTACTACTTCGGTTAGCCAATTTGACCATTGAACTGACTCATTGACCAGCCATTTCAGTGAACCACGGTGTCCCAAAATTATCTACCATTTCAATGAGCCAGTCCGCCCTTTCACCTACCATTTCAGTGAGTCGCAGTGCGGCCGCGTCGTTAAACTGCACGCCGCTGAGCCGGACCGGCAGCGCCTGCGGCGGGTGTCGGGCCAGCGCCGGCGGCAGCGCGCGCAGCTCCGACACCGGTACAGTCTCCTCGTTGCCGTAGTCGACAAACAGCACGGGCACGGCGCCGTGGGCTGTGGCCAGCGGTCGGGCGCGGTACCAGCTGCCGTCCGTGTATCGGGCCAGCACCAGCCGGCCGGGGGTGACGGCAGAGGGCGCCGGCGCCGGCTCGGCGGCCGCCAGCTCACCGGCCGTCAGCACGCGCTGACACACCTCGTCAGCGGCTGACGAGTCGAGCTGGACGAACAGCCGGCCGTCCTGCGGCGAGACGTGAACGACGAACGCGTCCACGATACCGCCCACCTGAGGCAGAGGGGCCGGGACGGTCAGCAAGCGGGGGTCAGCGGTCAGAGGTCAGCGGTCAGAGGTCAGCGGTCAGCGGGGGCCGTGCGACCGACGGCCAGGGACGGTGCTAGATTCCTCGTTGGCTCAGGCACAACAAAGCTAACCAGTTGTGGAGTTGATTCTCTGATCGCCGCCAAAGCATCGGTTAGCGGCGAGGCTTCCAACCAGCTAGGGAAGCCTCGTCAGTGCACCTCAGCTCTGCAGAGGTGCACACTGATTTCTTTCTCCATTTTGCTACAATTTGATTCGTCAAGCCAAAGAAGCCCAGCTTATGATTAAGGAATGGGGGCACCATTGTCCCGGGGGCTATCAATTATCATCACTGAAGGCAGTTGGTAAGTCAAATATTTTTAGGTTAAGTGGTTATGCATCAGGCTTCAGGCCTAATTCATCTAAGCCGCTCGGTGACGAGAAACAGGGGTCTAGAGAACCCTTCCCATCGACAGAGAGCACAGCTGCGGCTCGCGCGCCGGGTCACTCACGGGCGGCAGCTGCGGCGGCGCCTCCACCTCCGACATGGCCTGCAGCGTCTGGTTAATGTTGACGTCGTCCTCGCCGGAGGTGTCGAACAGCACCACCTCCAGACGGCTGTCCTCGGCGACCACCACCTGGCAAAGGGTCACAGACAGGTCAGGTCAGGGAGGTCAGGGCAGGGCAGGGCAGGGCGCGACGGTCCTCGGCAACCCCCACCTGGCAAAGGGTCAAAGACATGTCAGAGCAGGGCAGGGCAGGGCAGGGCAGGGCAGGGCAGGGCAGGGCAGGGCACGGCAGGGCAGGGCAGAGGTCAGATCAAAGACAAAGCATTAAGCAGGTCAGGCTACTAGCTACCTCAGATTAGTTAGAGGTCAGCTCAGGGGCAGGGACAGGTCGGATCAAGTTAGACATTAACCATCCATCAGGCTTACACTATACGAGTAAAGCAGCAGTCTTGACTGCAGCAGTATTGGGAGCCAGAGGCCGGGAAAACTCGAATATCACCGGTGATATTAAAGTATAAAATAAGACGCACAAATCTGGATCGGTCCCACCCACAAATCAAGTCTAACCCACCAGCAAGGCCGGTAACGCCACGCCCACACCGTTTAGTCAGGTCAGGCCAACTAACTAGCCACACGCAGAGTTCCACAGTTTGTGTTGGACTAGACACTCCACCCGTGTGTCTGTCAACCACCATCCTCCACTCCACTCCAAGTGTCTCTACTCCCCTCCCCTCCTCTCCTCCCCCACCCTCACCTGACAGATGAGGCTCTTCCTGAGCACCAGTCGGCTGAGCGCCTCGGTGGCGCCGGGCCGCTCTCCGTCCACACCACTGAGCGAGGCGTGCAGTGCCTGGCCCGGCAGCTGGCCGAACCGTGCGGCGTCCAGGGGGCGCAGACTGCGAGCCGCCACCAGCTCCGTCAGACCGATGTCGACGAAAAACGCAGACACCATATCGTCCAGGATGTCGGTGACCTGGACACGGTGAGGGGTGCCGTCCACCTGGCGGAGAGGTCAGGGCGGGTCAGGTCAGGTCGGGTCGCTCAGGATAGGCCACTCCCAGACTGAGACTACATCGCTGGCTGACAGGTAGACAATCATTGAGCGCCACGCCATGAATCCATGGTGACGATTACGAAGCCAAGTGTACTCTCGTCCGTGATTCGTACCTGCGCCAGGTAGATGCCTCCGATGACGGGTGTGACGGGTCGCTGCTCCTCCACCAGGCTGACCTCCATTTCCGTCATCAGGTCATCGAGCCGGTCCTGCCAGCACACAGTGTGGGGTTACAATGGACTCGCCATCTAGACCGTCCCGATCAAAAACTGTGGGAGCTAAGTGCTAACACTATCAGCGCTCCGATATACGAGCACAGCACACAAAGGCACATCATAATATCGGCCCGGCTCGCTTACAGCCATGTTCAAAGTCACGCTTAGCTGGGCAATCCCGAATCGACTCAAGTCTGTTGGCACCGATTGTAAATCAAAAGATAAAAGAGAAAAATGACGTAGGAAACGTAGACTAAGCACATACATACACAAAACAACACGGCAACACAAACCCAGCTGCGAGTATCCATGCATCCACCCATGCAACTACCACATAGCTCCCTGTAACAGTCGTCATTTCACAAGCCGAGAAAAAGTCATCATCGCTGTCCGCTGAAGATCAGAAGGGAGGGGCTTGTACGGTGGGGACGCAAAAATTGAAAAAAAAACCGGCGTCGGTCCATCTCAACCCTTGACCTGGAAAGGTAGTTAGGTCACATGGCGCTCCTCCCGGACCCCGCCGCTCGTCCTTCCCAGCCTCCTACCGTGTATTGTTCGCCGATGAGACGGAAAGCCAGCTGCGATCCACTCAGCACACAGGTGACCCAGACGGGGAACATCTCCTCGTCAGGCAGCTGCACAGTGTCCAGACGGGTGAGACAGCCGGCCGGCGCGGCGGTAGGGGCGGGCGAACCGGGCTCGCCGGCCGGCCCCACCACCTGGTGACGGACGGCACACAGTCAGAGGACATGGCTGGGTAACTGGGGCGGGGGTAAGGTCAGGTCAACACAGGGGGGCATGTTACTCAGAGTTGGTCAGTACAAGATTATCCATTGGCGATGTTTCAGTGACCCATGTGAACAGCACACGAGCTACCACACTACTGGGGATGTAGCCCGACTCACGTAAAATGTCGAGTAGAGGATGCAGTCTGACTGACTCACGTGAACAGCCGAGTAGAGGATGCACTATGTAGTCTGACCCACGGGGACAGCCGAGTAGAGGATGTAGTCTGAGAGTCCTAGTCTGACTCACGTGTACAGCCGAGTAGAGAATGTAGCGGTCGGCGCCGACGCAGTCGAAGCGCACGGTGCCCGAGTCGTAGAGCAGCTCCTCCCAGTTATCGGGGACGCGCTCCTCGAACTGTCGACGGTACTCGTCCGGAACGCTGTCCCGCCATAGGCCGTACCGACGCGTCTCCAGCATCTGTCAGACAGGAACGGCTGGTGAATAACAGCCATATGCCGTACCGACGGGACTCGAGCATCTGGCAAACAGGGGAGATGCTCTGTTCAGTAGCGGCCCACCGCGACTCCAGTTGCATCCAACAAAGGGGAAAGACTGGTGAGCAGTGGCCCAGTTCATGTCGGTGTGAGTATCCTGGTGGCGGGGAGACATTCTGGTCAGTACCGCCAGCACTGGTCAGTGCCAGCCTCAGTCCGCACCGGAATCACTCCAGCATTTGATTCAGAGCGGACAATGGCTACATGATACTGTCCGATCCCACGGCCCTATGCCGTCTTCTCTCCTAGTGAATGCGCACTCTCATATTCTGTGCAGTGCCTCCTGGTGATTCTGTCGGTATAATTACTCTACTGCCTCGTCTTTCCTGTACTGTGCCCTCTCATATCCTGTAGATCCGTCTGATCATTATGTCGGTACTGTACTGTACCGTCTCTCCTGTACCTCCTTTACTCACCCCTGTCGCATTCTGCAGTGACGTCTGGTGATTCTGTCGGTACTGTTATGTACTGTCTCTCCTGTATCTCCTGTACTGCCCTCTCTCACATTCTGCAGTGACGTCTGGTGATTCTGTCGGTACTGTTATGTACTGTCTCTCCTGTATCTCCTGTACTGCCCTCTCTCACATTCTGCAGTGACGTCTGGTGATTCTGTCGGTACTGTTATGTACTGTCTCTCCTGTATCTCCTGTACTGCCCTCTCTCACATTCTGCAGTGACGTCTGGTGATTCTGTCGGTACTGTTATGTACTGTGCCGTCTCACCTGTGCGATCCTGGTGACGATCAGCTGCTGGTCGTCGGTGACGGGCGACTCGCGCTGGCTGTTGTCCTGCTGGCGCCGCTGCCGCAGCTCCTCCAGCGCCATCTTACAGGCGGCGTCCTCGGCCAGCTCGGCCGACGGACTCTCGTCCGGGTAGGTCTGACAGCGCACCTCGCCCACCTGGGGACAGGGAAAGGGTTGGAACGGAGTCGCAACAGCAGTACCATCCAACCCCATGGGCCAGCCGGTAACACCCAGTTCCCAGCGAACCGGCCGGTTAGTCCCCTAACGGACCAGCAAGTACCAGTCAACCCCAACTCCAGCCCCAGCAGAACAGCTATCACCACCGTGCAGCAACGGACCAACCAGCCTAACCCAATCACAGTACTTTACTCTCAGCCTTCAGCGTACACCGGTATTACACGGTAGAATATCCCGTCCGCACGGACAAATAACGTCCAAAGAATGCGTCTGAAAGATACACTCCCAAATCAAGACCAACAGGTAGTGTGTCCTGTGTCCGCAAAGGAACACAAGTTTACAGTTGGGAAATACTCTTACCCAAAACGTGACAAATCTGGTCATCGTAGCGCATTCCACCCCACACACACGTACCGTAATAGTCGAGTAAAAGCTGGGCACCCGGCCGGCCGACTTGGATTTGGGCCGGAACGACACCGTCTCCAGCTTGGCCTCCGGCAGGCCGTGCTGCCGGATGAAGGCCTGAAGCTCCTGTTTGGGAGTGAGGGCGGCCCTGGGGACGGTTGGTACCGGTCAGCGGAGAAGGCAGCTGGTGGCACCAGACCGAGCAATCAATAGGCACTCATTGTGCGGCTTCTGTGGCTTCCGACAGCAGCGAGGGACTGCGATTCGACGACTGGCGGCATTCTCCATACCGTTCATGAAAGCGCAACTTCATACTGCCACGCCCATCATATTGATAGCAGACATTACATCCTATCAAATAAAGTAAGCACTTAAGTAAAATAAAAATGGCACACTAAACGTCAAAAGTATGTGCTAGTTATAGTGACCACGTACCTCGTTTGTTTTTCAACTGGCGCTGGCGCTGGCGCCGGCTGCCGTGCCGGAGCCGGGGTCGGCGTGGGAGCCTTGACCGAGACCGGGGCCGGCGCGGGAGCCCTGGCCGGCGCCGGAGCCGGGGCCGGTGCGGCGGCCGGTGCACTCCACCGCGACTGAGTGTCGGGCGCCGGCCTGTACTGCGGCTGAGACTGCTGGGGCGGCGACCTGGCCGGCTGGGCGACCGGCGGCCGCGCCGCCTGCTGCTGCTGCTGCTGCTGCTGCTGGTATTGCGGCTGCTGCTGCTGGGGAGGCGGCGGCGGTCTGTAGGCGGCCTGCGGGCGTACCGCGGCCGGCTGCGACCAGCGCGGCCGCGGCGGCGTCGGCAGCAGGCCGTGCCCGCTGTTGGGGCGCACATTGATCGCGCGCCGAGGCTGGAAGTTGAACCGCGGCGCAGAGAAGCCGCCGGGCCGCCCTGTCGCCGGGAGGAACGCCGGGTCAGGTCAGAGTAAAATGGCGACGCCAGCATATACCGCTGGTGGCCAGGCATCAGCGGCAGCTCAGTTCCCGATACCGGTTTAGGGGACCGATCGAAGCATTCATACGAACTGGGTCGTAAAAAAAAACCTTCAATGCAGCCCAAGCTTTCAGTGAAAGTCATAGTCCAAGTTATCAACGAAAGACTGAAGGCGTAAATGGTAAAATAACAGCTCCGGTAAATTACTGTCCAGTTCAAAGGGAGCACTTATCCGGTTAGATAAAAGCACACCACCCACACGGCACACCATGTTCCGCCTCTCCCCGCGGAACCGGTCCGCCCCAACCACCACTCACGGGGGCCGTAGCTGGGCCGCGGCACATAGCCGGTGGGTCGGCGCGGCGGGGCCTTCTTCTTGCTGCCCTTTTGGCGCTGCACGAGCGAGGCGATGCCGGCAGTGCTGGCGTCGACGACAAACTGCACTACCGGCTCTGGGCCCGAGTCATCCAGCTGCCAAACATGCGGGGAGGGGAGGGACTCATTACCAGTCATCACCGGAGATATACGGACCCGACTGTGTGGCAGCTACTGGGCATTGGTGTCCACAGGAATGTGTCGCATGTGCGACATTCGATATATTTACTGGACAATAAGTGTGACCCATTGTGTGCAGTAGTAGTCAAAGGACATCGACGCGTCCCGTTGCATGTCTTAGTAGCAGCTGGAATGTGCCCATAATGTGCGGTACCAGCATACCACCAATGTGTCCCGTCAGGTGAAGTACCTGTCCCGCTGCATTTCATGCAGTATACATGAGCGGGCCCGACCCGCATACGGTCGGTCAGACCACTGATCAGACCCAGACTGACTTACCCGCACCACGTCCGGAATCGAGCGCAGGTAGTCCTCCAGACTGCGGTGGCCCGAGTCTCGGAACGGGATCGGGTAGCCCACCAGCGTCTGGAAGTCCCCTGCAAGCGCGTGCCGGTCAGCGACAGACCGCACAGTGGCTCAGTGTAAAACAGATCGGCGACAAATTCGCGACGTCAGCTATCAAAGAACTTCTTCGCCGTGCGCGCCGTGCGCTATACATTCATCTGCAATTGATAGCTGCGATTTTTAACTAATCAAAGCGGCAAACTGACATGGACATTCACATGGATCGAAAGGTTGTGTGTGAAGCAAATAAAAAGGTGTATGATTTTTAACGTGACAGCTACTGGCTTCATTTACTTACTTTTCAGCTCTCGGAGAGTTAGACCACCTTTGGTGGAGATCAGGCAAGAGCGTATTAGGCTCTTCGTTTCGTCGCCCATTTTTTCTTATTTTAGAGATTCACTTCTGCTTCAGATCTATGCAATCACAAGGAAAAATGGTAATTAATACTTTATGCAGTGATACCATTAGTATCACGGCATAAAGTTACCAAGTTAATCTTATAAGCTCACATCGCCGGATTGGGAGCTTATAAGCTCTAATCCGTATATAAGTAACTTTTTTTGTTAAATTCAGTGTCAATTTTTGAGATATGCACCAATAGATGATTATCAAATATTGATATCATCTCTGTTGGATTAGGTGTCGTTGGATTGCTCGATGTTGGATTTCTACATTGTAGCATGGTAGCTGCTAAAAAGGTTCATGGTGAGCGGGAGAAGCTTGTGCATGGACCTAACATTTTCGCCTCACAGTTCTTCGCCCAACTCAATCTTTTTTTCGCATTCCAACATCACTCATTTCTTCGTCTCACAGTTGCTGGCCTTTTCGTGAATAATTTCTCGGTGCGGAAAGTCCACGCTTAAAACTGCACGTCCGAACGCACGATTTGACGCGCAGGTGGACGAAGAAATTTCGGCGCAAACGGACGATTTAACCCTCGCCCGTATTGGTGTTTTGCCAGCCGCGAACGTGTAAGGCAGGGGGGGGGGGGGCGGGTCCAACGGACTTGCCGTTTTGCCCCTGAGTTTCGCTAGAGCTCACAGTGGGGATTTTTCCGATCTAGCGCCTATTAATTCAAAAAATATTTTTTGGATTTTTGTTTATTTTTTGTGTCAGTAGAGCTAAGAAATGTCTGAATTTTTCATATATGGCATTGTTTTATCTGTATGTCCACAGCGAAACTAGGAAAAATGCGCCCAAAGTTCACACTCATGCGTGATTACTCAATGGGCTCAGCAAGGCCCGAAAGTATAGCTCAATTTCATTGTCCTGTCCTGTTGGTTTTAATCTTGCGAGGTCTTAAAGTTGCATATCGCCTGAAAGGCACCTTTATTAGGAATGGAATGGCAAACAGAAAGTATGCCACAACCTTACTAAGGTCACAAAAATGCCCTTTACAAAAAACCCTTACAGACACCATATTGAAGGAATGGTATTCTAAATAAATGTAGGAAATCAATAATGTTCTCCACACTTTTCCACTCCGAAATATATCCTATCGAATTCGCCACTTTCTTCTGCACAAGACAACGCCTAGTTTGGCTGCCGAAACTTGCCTGAACACGGAATATTCACATTAGAGTATCTTAACACCCCACTCGAGGAGCGCTAGGGCAAACAGCACGATATAGGTATGTTCCGGACATAGGCGAATTATTTTACTTCGTGATTTATATGATGCATATTTTCTGAGACACATTCATTAGGAATAGGATGACAAGCGTAAATTATACATACCATAACCTTATTAACCATCGCACTTGTGGGGAGGGGGAGGGGGAAGGGGTCGGATAAAACCCCATGGTTTTCCGCAAATTACTCGCGCAAAAAGCGGCCGATCGCGCCGAAACTTTCGGTACCCTCGAGATCATCAATTTTACATCTAACCTAAAAATTTCATGACTCTGACCCAACTGACCTTTGACCTGTGGCATATTTCTCGAGACCATGTTTGGCCGGAATCGCGATTCGGCGTATGCCAGCTCACATTATCCGCGGTTTCCAGTCTTTTTGTGGTTTTAAACGTTCAAATATGTGAAATGATGTTGGTGCCATGCATAATGGTGGGAGTCAAGGTCACGTGAAGGTCAAGTCAAGGTCATTGACCTTTTGATGACCTTGGTTCACTTTTTCGAGTTTTACTTGTTTCTAGGGTAGTTTTTGGTGCTGATTTCGATTTTAGCAGCCATTTGAATATTTACGAAGTAGTTCTAGTGCCTTCGTTCCATGTTACGAAGCTATCAGTAGTAGGTGACACTTCTATGGATGGCCGGCAGGACGCCTACTAATTGATCTAACCTGACCTGACCCGACCTGGCCTAAATGCATAAAGACATCGTCTGTGATCAAAACTAACATGAAATTCGTGATCAGCACCCCAAAATACCCCGTAACACCCTAACTTTGCGAAGTTTCAAGAGGTCTCGATTTCCCAACTTTAGTTGGGTCATTAAACTGACTTGGAAAGTCAGCTTATGACCTTGGACTTTGAAATTGGATATATTCGGCCTAATTTCGTCATAGGCAGCACGCTGGACTTTTCCGCGAAGCTCTAGCTTGATCAGGGGCCAAACGGCTGAGAGGGGGGTCCAATTGAACCCCCTATACTATGTTGATTATGCACATTTACAGGTAAAATTCTCACCAGGACACACCAGCCAACATCTGTGCACAATCTGGCTACAATTCTACCTATGGTTTGCCCTCTACGAATAAATACGTGCTAGATCGGAAAAATCCCCACTGTGGAGCTCCGCGAAAAAAAACGAGCGTGTTGCCCGTGACGAGAGGAGGCCAATGATACCCAATTTTAAGGTCCTAGGTCATTGGTTGACCTTGCAGGTCAGGTCAATGACCTAAAAGTCGGGAAAATCGGGACCTGTTAGACCGTCGTAAAGTGTGGCTGCTGTTTTTTTTTGGGGGGGGGGGGTGCTGATCACGAATACCATGTTAGTTTTGATCACAGCTAATGTCTTCATGCATTTAGGCCAGGTCGGGTCAGGTCAGGTCAACCCGTAGGTAGGGGTCCTGATGGGTAGGTGTCAACCGCCTCTGACAGCTCCATAACATGTTACGAAGGCACCAAAACTACTTCGCAAATGTACAAATGGTTGCTAACTTCGAATTCAGCTAAAAAAAAAAAATAGTTTAAAAACATGTATAACTCGGAAAGATGAACCGAGGTCATCAAAGGTCATTTACCTGACCTGACCTTCAGGAATCGGGTAGCCTTGACAAGTTGACACCCACCCTAATGCATGGGAGCAACATCATATCACATATTTGAACGCTTGAAACCACAAGACTGCAAACGCACGGCTAATGCAAGCCGACGTGTGCCGAATCGCGATTCCGGCCAAACATGGTCTCGAAAAGTAGGTCACAGGTCAAAGGTCATTTGGGTCAGGGTTATGAAACTTTCAAGGTAGGTGTAAAATTGATCAACTCGAGGGTACTCAACGTTTTGTCGCGATCGGCCGCTTTTTACGTGAGTTATCTGCGAGAAACCTGGGGGGGGGGGGGGTCCGTTCGCCTCCCCCCTACGGGCGAGGGTTGAAATTTCGGCGCAAGACGTCGAAATTTAATCTTAGCTTACTTCAATTTCTACAGTCCACATTCGAATCATAAACCCGAGTCGATGACTGACGGAGTGACGGGTACGTATTATTCATCGGAGGTCACCCGGCCCCGAGCCCCCTGGGTTAACGTTTGGGACAGCCCTCGGACGATTGGGACTACGGTCGATCTTCGGGCTCCTAACCGCTGAAGTTGTGCCTGGAGTGGACAGTACCTGAGTGAGGCAGCTGGCTATACAGTTTTTAAGTGGGGTTTCGCAGGGCTTTAGAAGACTGATCGGATTACTAGGCCCGAAGGTCGTACTCACATTGTGTCCTACCCATGCCCTGACACATAGCGTGCGATTACATTTGGGAGGTATTTGTTCGCTGAATCATCTGAAGAGAATCACAGAAATTTTACATGCAGTTCAGTATGAGGACCAAATTTCAGTGCTACAGAATCGCGGATGATTGTATATCATCCACGTGCTGGTGTTATGTCAATCGATATTCCCGATACTGATATGCCCTGGGGACAGTTGAGTGAATGACATAATAGGGTACCTACCTATACCGCACCCCTGACTCCTGCAGAAGTGAACCGGCATCAGCTAACTCCGGGCCCCGGCAGATGTGCGCAGGCATTTATTCGTGTCGCATTTCTTCATAAGGGCAAATATTCATACATCGAGGCATTTCTTCGTCTCCGCAAATCTTTGTCCGTTAACATCTGTTCACATCTGTTCCCCGTAAGATTCTTGAGTCGCTCATCCGTGATTGTTTAATGGACCATTTGCTATCAAATGACCTGCTGTCCAAGGAGCAACATGGGTTCCGCCCGAAGCGATCTTGTGACACGCAACTGCTTGACTCTTTAGACTCATGGAGCCGCCTGTTGGAGGACAAGACGGAGGTCGAAGTGATTTACCTTGACTTCCGAAAGGCGTTCGACACCGTCCCACACAAGAGACTGATAGATAAGCTGCGCTGTTATGGCATTGGTGACCGAGTGTTGTGTTGGATTGAATAATTCCTGGAAGACAGAATGCAGCAAGTGTCCCTATATGGAAACCTGTCAGACTTGGTCCCTGTGCGCAGTGGTGTGCCCCTGTGCGCAGTGGTTTACCCCAAGGCTCAGTGTTGCGCCCATTGCTCTTCTTGCTTTATGTCAATGACTTGCCAGATGCTATCACTTCAAATGTGCGAATGTTCGCGGATGACACAAAGCTGTTCTCAGGCATCTCTTCTGAACATGATGTGCAGACATTGCAGGCAGACCTGAACGCCCTCGTGGAATGGTCTAGAACTTGGCAGCTCCACGTGTTATGGTCCTACAAGACGCCCTGCATTCCATTCGATCACTGCTCTGCACATCTACCAACGTCACTCCGCATGAGCGTCTGTTTGCGTACAGCCGTCGCTCTATGAGTGGCTGCTCTGTCCCCTCGTGGCTGGCCTCAGGGGGACCCGTGCTACTGAGGGGGCATGTTCGTCATTTGAAGTACGATACTCTGACCTCTGGTAGAAGAGGTGGAGTTGCTCGAAGCGAATCCTCGATTTGCTCATGTTCGTTTCCAGGATGGGAAGGAGTCCACTGTGTCTGTGCGTGACTTGGCTCCTCGTGGTGATGCTGCTACATTGTCTGATAGGAGTGCTGAAGAGGGCGGCACCGAAGCTGCTAGCCCTGTTGCCTCTTTTAGCAGACAAAGATTTGCAGATGAAAAAATGCATTGGTAAAAAAATGTGAAACGAAGAAATGCGCTGACAATAAACTACATATTGATATAAAAAGAAGTGCACCACAATGTTTATGCTAACGAAAAAATGACATAAAAATGAGTGGATTAAGTATTGCGGACAAAAAATTGCAAAGACATGCGCGACAAAAAAATGTCATACAAAAATGTGTCCTAGAATCAGAACATTACCTTATACCTATTCTTGTTCAACTTCCTTTTTATGCAGTCTTCTTGTTATTTATTTAAAACTTTTTAGTATCTATGGAATCGATAGGTATGCACAATGCACATACACAGTGCAGCTTCTAAAAATCTGAAATCGTAAAAAGGCCAAAATGTGGCACAAACAAGCCCTAACTTTTGGAGCAACTTGTGCCAAAACTTCGGCACAAAGTCACTTATATCAAATTTCAGCACATCCTGAGACGTCTGGTGAGGTGTTTGGTTTTTCTTTTCCAGTCTGCCCCCCGCCCTGCAGATCCAGATGTAAGTCAATATACCCTGGATCCACTCACCTGTTCAACTCACCTGTTTGGGGTTCCCTTGGTCTGAGAGTAGCCAAAATGAATGCAGGGATGGGGAGAAGGGAAGGAACCCGCATAGAAAGAGCTCGCCCGATGGATGAGAACACATCCAAACGGGAAAGTGAGCCCACAAGTGCCAAATGAATGAGTTTACAAGAGTGATAAGATACAAACAGCAACATTATAATTGGAACACAGTTAACGGTCATGGGACACAATTCATTTAGATACGCACTAGAGACTAGTATACAAACAGGGTATCACCCAGCGTCGCAGATAACATGGATTTGAACCTGGTTAAATCTGGTTCAGACACTACTTCGTCCGGTAGAGAGTTCCATGGAGTGATACAGCGGACACTAAATGATCTGGCACGTAAATCTGTTTGGGGACGGACGTGTGGCAACTTAAAGCGGTGGCCTCGGGTTCCAGAGGATGGCGAGAGCACAAAAATATCCGAAGGTTTGATTGAACATTTATCATGGAAGAGTTTCCAGCATTGTATCATGTCAGCTCGGAGGAGCCTGCCCTTGGCCGAAAATTGGTTCAGGGCCTTAAGTCGAGAGTAGTAATCTAGGTTGCCGAGACCAAGGACGCGCTTCGTCCAACGCCGCTGGACTGACTCCAGAAACCTTTCCGGATCCACCGGAGTTCTAGAGCCTTGGTTGGATCCTCCAGTGAATCCCCATCCCCCATGATTATCAAAATATCACCAGGCTGCGGTTGATTATATATGAAGCAGCTTGCACAGCTTCATTGTCAGCATTAAAATAGTAAAAAATTCAGAATTAGCCAGAAACAGATATCAAAATAAAATAAAAATGATCTCAAACACGCACATACCGCGCACCTCCCCCAAAACAAGGAGAAACGCGTGGGATCAAGGTTAAGTGATCACGTCTGTGAATTTGGCATGACCATGAAATCGGCACTAGCCAATAATTCAACTACAGCAGCAGCATCACTTGGGACTCAGATCAAATAAGGAACAGTAACGCAAACATGACACTTATTTCGGCATATTTTGCTCTTTTATCACCCCCAGTCATCAAGGCCAAATTGAAGATCAAAGGGCGGGGAACAATATTGAGTCTAGTGGCACTTTGGCGTCTTAATTTTATTTTGACCTTGAGATTGACCTTGTGTCTTCACCTTGAAATTTGACCTTACATATGTGCAAACTATTTTCCATCAATGGCTGGAGCTTTCAGCTTTGGGTGCGTTCATGAGCAATCAGCACGATAATCATAATTACTTTTCCTCGTAAGAAAGGATGTCGCAAAAGTTACGCATCCGAGTAGTTTAGTTATCTTGATGTACATCCTATCCTATAGCCTATAGGTAATGTTTGTTGATCACAGGTATGCATATGATATAGTCTGAGCATTATAGGGTGAGGCGGATGAGGGATCAATTCCTTTTTAACGATCTTTAAAAAGTATGAATATGACGCTATCTAGGTACGATTTTATAACAAATAGGAAAAGAAAAATGCTGTAGACACATGAATACTGCTCGGTATTTGAACCAAAAGCTCTTCACCCATGGATCAACGTCCATGATTTGGTCCATGTGAAGTGGTATCACGAATTTAGATTTAAATATCCTGCACAATTGATGAACAAGGTGCAAAAATATATTTTGACATTACTGGCGCGCTTGATACAAAAGTGGTGTGTGCCATTTTTCGGGCCGCCCCCGCCCCTTCTTGTAACTTGTTGTTGTGTCCGAACTCCGAGGCGGAAGAAGGCGTAACTCAAATTATTTTTACTTTAGGTGTATGATCCAAGCATGTGGTGTATTTCAAGAGTTGTTGCTGCCTGGCCTGCTGCATCACCATTTAGTACCCTTTGATTTATATAGCAAGGTTGAATCCATTGAGCATGCGCTCGCAATCATAGGCATTGGCATAAGCATGGGTCAGGGGGAGTGTGGGCAGAACTTGCCTCTTTCAAATTTCTGGAAGATCAATGTATGTTATTATTGTAATACTATATGATATTGATATATTCATATTTTAGCCACTCTCAGCCACTAGGACATGAAACTTTCAGCACCCTGTGGGCCGCAGGTCGCAGTATTAAATTAACTGGATTATTTGCCAACATTCACTGTGTGATGGCGGTAGCATAGCTTGCTATTTATAAATGCTAAATATATAAACTAAATACCTATCTATTAATTTCTCTATTAGTGACATTTTTTGTATTTACATATGTCTATCTACTGGCACCGTGCTTATACTTAAAAGCATGGTAGTTATCATACGTCGCCAGCTGGCCAGCCAGCTGACTGAATCCAGATAATACTGAGGCCCACCTTGTTCTACCTGTTCTAACTTATACCTTTCTCAACAGTGATTATCTGGAGCAACACAGTCTTTTAGTTATTTGATTAATAGTTATTTGATATTTTCACCTTAAAGCATATTGCACCTGGGGCGTTCCACGACAAATCGACAAGTGCCCTGCACCCTCATATTTTATTTTTTGCTTAAAATTGGTCTAATGGGTTGTGATGGGCGGGGAAGCCAGCTGTGCCAAGGATTTTTTTCTTCGAACAACGGTTTCCGAGATATAGCCTCGGGCAATTCCTGGATGTCGCGCTGCAGCCCTATGTTTGGCGGCCTATAACTAAAAAACTATTGGTTTTCTACAATAAAAACTTTATATGGTTCAACTCACAATCAACCAACAAACATTTTGGCTATCTCGGATTTTCAATTTTTGAAAATTTTGATCACGTGACCTTTTGACCTGTTTTTCGAAGAGTGACCTTGATATTTTCCCCACTGAAAGTTGCAGTTTTGTCTGATGACGATTAAAGCCTTATCACTTGTCATTCATATGCGAAAATAAAAAAAGTGGATATCGCCCTGCGTTGACCTCAGGTCAGGTCATTTTTATGACCCGTCCATTATTACGAGCGGGAGCGACAGCGAGATCTCGAGAATAAAGCAAGATAGCGACAAGCGGTAAACGGTGCAGGGTACAAATGGATAAGGTCTGTAATTTTTACTGAGGTCATTTTCAGGTCAGGTCAAAGATGACGTCACAGGAGCAAAAAGGAAGTCAAAATTGCGGCACTACATATATATGAAGTTTTTCTCGAATAACTTTCAAGGTATCCCAGCTAGGAACAAACTAATATCACCATCGTGATCCTCTCGTCGATCCGCATCGAAACATATGAATGTTGACCTCGAAAGGTCGAAAGGTCAAAAGTTGACTTTAGGTCACATGACATAAGGTCAACTTTTGACCTTTCGACCTTTCGAGGTCAACATACATATGTTTCGATGCGGATCGACGAGAGGATCACGATGGTGCTATTAGTTTGTTCCTAGCTGGGATACCTTGAAAGTTATTTGAGAAAAAAATTCATATATGTAGTGCCGCAATTTTGACTTCCTTTTTGCTCCTGTGACGTCATTTTTGACCTGACCTGAAAATGACCTCAATAAAAATTATAGACCTCATCCGTGTGTACCCTGCACCGTTTACCGCTTGTCGCTATCTTGCTTTATTCTCGAGATCTCGCTGTCGCTCCCGCTCGTCACGTGACCTAAGGTCAACTTTTTACCTTTCGACCTTTCGAGGTCAATATACATATATTTCGATGCGGATCGACGAGAGGATCACGATGGTGCTATTAGTTTGTTCCTAGCTGGGATACCTTGAAAGTTATTCTAGAAAAACTTCATATATATGTAGTGCCGCAATTTTGACTTCCTTTTTGCTCCTGTGACGTCATCTTTGACCTGACCTGAAAATGACCTCAGTAAAAATTATAGACCTTATCCATTTGTACCCTGCACCGTTTACCGCTTGTCGCTATCTTGCTTTATTCTCGAGATCTCGCTGTCGCTCCCGCTCGTAATAATGGACGGGTCATAAAAATGACCTGACCTGAGGTCAACGCAGGGCGATATCCACTTTTTTATTTTCGCATATGAATGACAAGTGATAAGGCTTTAATCGTCATCAGACAAAATTGCAACTTTCAGTGGGGAAAATATCAAGGTCACTCTTCGAAAAATAGGTCAAAAGGTCACGTGATCAAAATTTTCAAAAATTGAAAATCCGAGATAGCCAAAATGTTTGTTGGCTGATTGTGAGTTGAACCATATAAAATTTTTATCGTAGAAAACAAATAGTTTCTGAGTTATAGGCCGCCAAACATAGGGCTGCAGCGCGACCTGCTGGAATTGCCCGAGGCTATATCTCGGAAACCGTTGTTCGAAGAAAAAAATCCTTGCCACAGCTGGCTTCCCCGCCCATTACAACCCCTTACACCAGTTTTCAACGAAAAATAAAATATGAGGGTGCAAATTTAATTTTTTATTTGTCGATTTGTCGTGGAACGCCCCACCTAACATGCTCAATATATCTCTTTTATTGTCCCTGGTGACCTGACCTAGCCTATACCTTGAATATTATACCTATGACATAATGTGTGCTTCACCCTCTCTTGTAGGCCTAAAACCAGGTTATGGGTGATTCTCAGTCAATTCTTTGCCAAATGTGCCAGAAATCCAATAATGTGAAACTTGCAGCTTTGATCCTTGACCTGACTTACCTTCTCTTGAGTAGTGACCTGCTAAAGCAAACAGAATTGGTGCTAAAAATATATGTCCTGTCTATATTTTGGAGTGCTTTTTCCACTGTATTTCTATGACTTTTCCTTTAGAATATGAGTGCAGCAAAATCTACCCTGGCCTCCCCCCCCCCCCCCCCCCCCAGCAGGCCACGTTTGACTGAATACCCCAGTGGGCTGCTGGTTAATGATGGGCTGCTTGGAGTGTGATAACCATCGCCTGGGAAAGGGCTAAATCAGTCCACCTAAGGTTTTCCCATGAAAGTTCTAACACCTTTTCTGTTCATCTGTTTTCCTTATCTGTCTACTGAAAGCTAAGTGAGCCACATGGAATGCTTGTATGTATAACAATTTTTGTAGTTGCAGTGACATGGACAAGGAAAGTTCACCAACGGCTGTTCATTTACCACATAAAGTATGGCGCAAGCAATGGAAAAAGATGAGACGGAAGAAACTTCGACAAATATCAGCCAAATTCCGAGATGCAGCTGCGGAGCAAAAAGAACTGGAGCTTATGAAGAGTCATTCTTACCGGTCCTGGCTGTTGGAGCAAGAACATTTAGGAGTCATGCGGGAGGCTGAAGAACAGGAGGCTGCGCTGGTCAGACACCAAGCATGGTTGGAAAGGGAAAAGCAAGCTAAACTTGAATGGGATCAAAGGAAGCTGAAAGAAAGCCAGCAAAAAGAGGCTCGCGAGAAGCAAGAGAAACAAATTCAAGAGGAATGGGAAGCTATTAAAAAGGCTGAAGAAGCGGAAAAACAGAAAGAGGAAATGGAGCAGCGTCAGAAAAAAGAGAAACAGGAAGCCCTGCTTCGTGATGCTCTCTCAGAGCTGTGTCAGCCCTCTGTCCAGAACCCTCCCGTCCCGTCAGCTGAGGAGCGTACCGTGGAATCTCGTCCCGGTCTGCAGCTGTGTCCATTCTTCGAGAAGACTGGCTGCTGTCGCTTCGGGCCGCGGTGCTCCCGTAACCACAGACATGTACTGCTGAGTCGCTGTCTGCTGCTGGAACACTTCTATCAGCCGCTCGGCGTGCGGTATACACTTGATGACGAGCAGAATCTGGATGTCGGCCTCGAGTTCGATGACGCGGAGAGGGCACGACATTTCAACAACTTCTATGACGATGTGCTGCCTGAACTGCGATCGCATGGCGAGGTCGTTCAGTTCAAGGTTTGTCAGAACTACGAGCCTCATCTGCGCGGAAACGTATACGTACAGTATGCTACGGAAAATGAGGCAGCGCGAGCGTTTAAAAACTTAAACGGACGGTGGTACGGCGGAGAGCAGATATCTGTGCGGTTCGTTGACGTGCAGCGGTGGTCCCGAGCCATATGCGGCTCATTCTTTCGGGGGAACTGCCCGAAAGGCAGAAACTGCAACTTCCTGCACGTGTTTAAGAATCCGAACGGTGAGTTCAGGAGAGCTGACCGGGACCTGCCGACGTCAGCGGAGTCGACGCGGCAGAGGTCCTCGTCCCGGAGAGAGACGAATGGCTGGAGCACAGAGAGGCGCGGCAGTGAGCGAAGCTCAGAGCGGCGCGGCCGTGATCGGAGCTCAGAGCGGCGCAGCAGACGACCTTCGGAGGATGCGAGGCGGCGCTCCGTGTCGACCAGCAGACGCACGCCTACCGAAAGGGAAAGAAATAGGAGGGAAAGGAGCCCGGATCGTAGGAGTTCTAGCAGGAGATACCGAGCATCGACTGATTATGATTCGCCCAGAAACGAACATCGGAGCACCGAAAGAACGCGCGGCAGCAGAAGCCGGAGGGACGACCGATACTCTCGTGAGGAAGGTACCGGTAGTGATCGCAGAAAGTCGCGGAGAAGTCATAGCCCAGAGTCGAACGGACATCAGGATGACAGCGAAAGACATACAACTCACCGATCTCACGAACGCTCCCGGAGTTCTAAACGGCGCCGTTCTCGCAGTAACGATCGTGAGCGGAAAAAGAGGAGTAAGAGGTCTCCGAGTTCGACGCACCGTCGCGAATCGGGTAGCCAGACACGAGAAACGAATTCTACCGAAGCTGGCGGGCCCAACAAGGCGGACCGCGATTCAGACTGCCGCGGCGAAATGGCAGAATCTGATTCTACAGCACTACGAAAATCCCCGGAGGTGGCATTGGCATTGAGCCAGGATGGTTAAAAGCGTATTTGTATCATTCGTTGACGCTCTGAAGCACTTTCAAAAACTTTGTCATCATCATGAACTCACAAGAACGCGCCTGTGATTACACTCATTGTTGAATGATCTCGCTACTTCGTTATTGTTTGGGTGAGCTGACTGTGCCCTCATGCTGTTGTGTTTGTAGAAGGCCAGTATGTCTGTGTCTGTTAGCTACTCCATCATTTCACTGAACATGTTGCGCACTGCCCCAAATTTCCTGCGTGTTTCCTTGACTGAGATGTCAGTATTGCGAGCCTCTGCCGTGAAATTTCGTCGAAATCGCTGAGCTCGACAGCACTGCGAAGGCCGCCTGTTCCTGCTGTCCAGCCGACAAGCAGCGCCAGGTATGTGATAGTACTTAAATCTATAGACTTTTCCTATGGTAAGGGATATCGTTACCAGCCTGAGCAATTGGTTTCCAGACTCCAGGGTGTCTAAATAGGATATGGCATGCTCAGGTTTCAGTCCAAATCAGTGATGGTTGTGGTTACCTTTTAACTGTCGTATCATGTTTACTGTGCAGTTTTGCATGATATTTGAAATCCCTTTTACCCTTTTCGTGCTTGTAGCATATGCGCCGGAGATGACAGAATCTGCAGTGCTGATTAAGTCTTTCACTGATGGAGGGGGCGGATGCCTTTCCCCTCTCTTGCTTTTTACGGAAAGCTCTTGTAAAAAGTTGCAGATAGTGACGAACCTTTGAATGCTTTCGTGTTAATCAATCCTATAGATTTTGTTAAGTTTCCATGACCGTGATCCGAATAACCGTTGACATGTGACCTCTGCCCCGAGACATACTTCTCAATCGCTGAAACTTCCAAAGCAGTGCGCGGTCGGTGCAGGCTGGAGTTTCATTTTCTTGATATTTAATGAACGAAGCCTGTCATAGTGATGTGCCGAAAAAGATGTGCCTGTGTTAGGAAAGTTGAGGTAACGATTAAGATATGTAAGCCATTCCTCGGCCTTGTGGTTCGTTAATCCTGTATGCTTAAATCGTGCATCTGATTGCTTCTGTTTCTGCTGGTCGCAGCTCTCCCTCGTACCCGTTTCAGTGGTGTGATAAAACCTCTGCTGATGCTGTGCTCTGTCCCTTTCTCAGAGCTGCGTCCGCTAACGGCGGTGTCTCGGCAGACCAGACTCGTCTCCTCCGGCCGGTGACGGTGAGTGCCGTCCAGATGTCACGGACAGAGACTGAACACGAGCCCGGCACTCTCAGCAGCCGCAGCGGTCCCCACGACACAGCGGAGCTCACCGTGACATCTAGCGACTCAGCGGCCCCATCCGTCCCCACGACACAGCGGAATGCACCGTGACATCTAGTGACCCAATGGGGTATACTGGGACATGTAGTGACCCAGCGCTCGCACGGTGACATCTAGTGGCCCAGCGGGCGCACTGCGGCACCACGGCAAAATGTGTGTTTATCGCGTAGACTAGGGGGCGCCCCGTGCCATCCGGTGACCCAGCAGAGCGTACCGCATCTTAGCGACCCAGTGGAATGAGCGGCGGCATCCCCGCCACACTAGACATTGGCTGTGATATCATGGAATTAGGGGGAGTCATTTGTGTCTCAGAGCTGATGGTGTTAAACCATCAGAGTTTGTATTGTCAAATGTGAGCATAGTAATACATGATCTTTTTTGTACTTACATATTTTCAGTACTGAAAAGTCAAAGGTCCTAGTCCCATTATTGGAGATCCGAGTCCCTTCATGAAAATGTTGGTTTGTTGCGGAAAGGCTAATCACAAGGTATTCGTGATCATAAAATCAAACTAGATGTTCAAATAGCATGATATATTTTGTCGATGAGAAATAATAACGGGCACATCCCTCTCCCCCTCCCCCTCCCACATATACACATTAACACACATACCACGCATTGGCGCTGCGTAAAAGCCGCACTCGCTCGGGCTATTTATTCCAATAGCAACAGTCGTTAGCTGTGAGCTGGCGCCGATCTGAGATCCTCGTGCTGGGAGATGTTTGTCCACTCTGACCCCTCCCGGGTCGGGCGTCATCAGGTGATGAGGGGCCGTTTGACGGGCCACAGGCTGGTGTCGCACTGGCGCGCCTCGTGACACTGGTAGCGGCCCAGCTGCTGGTCACACCAGCAGTCGACGCAGTTGAGCGTGTAGTGGAGCACCTGGTGGGACGGTCCCAGCCACGAGCACGGCCCTGCAGGCACCACAGAGCCCGCGGTGATTGCACCTCGGTGCGCTCTGCATTGGCTCAAAGGTGACAAGTGCTAGGGTGCATGCATGCTGTAATTTCACATAAGATGTTAAATGTTTAAATAAAAGGTTCACATTTGGCTTGACAGCTAAATTTGGGTTCGTTGGTGGTCTTTCCCTACTGCTAGCTCCATTAGATATTGGTTATTGACGATATACTCCGATGACCTTAGGTGACCTTAGTACGCCGTCGTATGCCTCATATAACGGCACGCAAGCTGTGCAAAAAAAAAAAACATGTTGAACGTAGGACATGAAATTATCATTCTTGCCAACCCAGAAGATTCTGTTTTGATTGAATGAAGGACCAAATTAGAGCTCTAATAGGGATTCTGTACCAGCTCATTGCTCAAAGAAACTCAGGCACGTCACCAACGTCCTCCCCTCGGCCCGAGCGTCCAAACTCATGAATAGACTACGGCAATTCGAAAACGAGCGAAGTGGAGTGTAATTGACGAGTTCCACTTACCTGTGGTGCCGATCATGTGTTCGATGCTGCTCATCAGGAAATCATAGACATCCTCTCCGCTACTGGGAACTTCATCAGCTGCACTTAGTCCTTTCAACAGGAAAGTCATCCATACATAACATAAATATTGCCCTCGAACAGTAAGTAGTTGGGTCATACCAGCGTTTTATTTTTTTCCTTTTCACTACCTTTGCAAATGGATTGCTAATGGATCGAGTAAAAAAGATTTGGTTTGGTTGTGACCAAGGCCATATATGTATTTGGTCGTGGCCTGATATAATAATGTCATGTTCTTTGAGCTAAGCAACTACAAATTGCACGTGCTAACAGTTACACGTGCCTGTTACTTGTTTGATTAACCCACTTGGAATAATTGAAATTTGAAAAAGAGCAGAACGAAGACCGTAGCAGTGTTTATAACAGCGTCGATTTAAAGGAAAAGTGCCACCTTCTTGAAATATGAAGATATCGTTGGTTTTTATTTTGACATTATTATTTTCCATTTTCTTTTCAAAACCGGTGCCAGAAGTGCATAATTCGCTAAAAAGTATTTCAAACTATTTAACATATTGGTACTATGTTTATACTCTCTACCGCAGCTACTGTATGATGTCATAGCAATGACGTCACACTCAAGCCAATCAGCCTTGAGGAGGATAGACTCGTCGGACTGTAGCGGTTGTAAACAACTTGTCGCCCCGTGTGTCTGCCCGTGGCGCTAGTTATATGTCGAAGGTAAGGGTGAAAGATGGATATAATGGCCATGGAACGCTATTTTAGGATTATTGGTGAATAGCAAGAATATAGTTTTGGTGGTTTGAAATTGTTTGTCCTCAGTGATTGGCTTGATTCTCATTTTGCGGCATAAGCGGCTGTTTGGTTACATTGCATTTTTTATGATTGTGTAATTATTATGATTATGTTCCTCCAAAGTAGGCATCACATATCAATCTCAAAGGCAGATCATCTTCTTTTCATGCCTATAATTTTCTTCAAGAATATTAATAAAAAATATTCCATTTACCCCTGCCTATCATATATCCCATGGAGCTGCCGGTGGAAGTAGGCATGCAATGTGACCTAGCATTGGCGATGTGGTTAATTAGCTTTAAAGTACTATGGAATGCTAAAGGTCATCATTTAGAATGGTTTTCAAAACATTCCACTAGGAAATATTCATTGAAACCTGAAAATTACTTACAAAATGTAAATGTATAGCCACGTCTCAAGAGCATTCAGCCGTCTTCTCAGTAAATATGTAATGAAACATAATCTTACCTGACCTAGCCTTACCTACAACCTACAACGTACGGCATTGGTAAAGCTGGCATCACTGTCAGCGTATATTAGTTTGGTAGGTTGTGGGTAGGTAGGTTGCAGGTCAGTACAGGCGCGGATACAAGGGGGGGGCCATGGGGGCCATGGCCCCCCCCCCCTTGGCCGATTTTTTTCAAAAATAAAATAAAAAGTTAAAAAGCTGAAAAGGGGGCCTCCTGAAAATAAAGTGGCTATTCATGTTGAGATGTTGCCTGAACAGCTAGATAAGCTCAATAGACGCAGTTTTTTTTTGGGGGGGGGGGCCCAACAAGTGGGAAGATGGGGCCTCCAACAGGTGGGATTATGGGGGCCTCCTGGTTTCTAATGGCCCCTCCCTTGGAGATTTTCTGGATCCGCCCCTGGGTCAGTAGGTAAGGTTAGGTTAGGTTAGATTGTTTTTAAGATTCCTTTTATCTACACATTTACCGGTTAGCGCTGACGGTGACACCAGCTTTACCGATACCCAACCTACCACCAACAACCTACAACCTAAAACCTACATTCAATGGTGGCGGGTGGTGATAATTGTTATACCTATATGATAATACTGGAGATAAATACCATACAGATTAGCTGGTATCCATGACACACTTTCTTAAGAAGAAGGTCTTCTATTAAATCATGTCTATTTTATAGGAATGAAATGATTTTTGTTGTAGTCACATTCCCTACTCTGACCATCATGTCTGATTATTTCCAGTTACCACTGACAATGCCCAAATCAAGAACAACAAAGGCCCAAAGGTGGCTGTTTGGTAGTGCGCAAAGCTGCTGGTAAGTGGCATCAAAGCCGTAATCGCCACGCCATATGTGGAAGGCTTTTGGTGTCAATACATACATACATACATACATACAAAGGATAGGATGTTGTTGTTGTTATGGGTTAGGGCGCGTAGCAACTTGGCTCTTGCGTCCAACATCAAAGGATAGGATGTGCTTTGTTATTTCCAGGCACGTAGCCAGGATTTTGCTCAGGGGGGGGGGGGGTCACAGGTTGTGGCCTAGTGTTGTACCCCCTCCAAAAAAGGAAAATTTCTCTGATTAGGCCCACTATTTTGGGGGGGTGTCACAGCTGTTTTTATTTAAAAAAAATCGCCATCACCGAGGGGGGAAGGGGCACGAGGGCATGGCTCCCGTGCCCCTCCCCCCTCCTTGGTTACGTCCTTGGTTATTTCTGAGAGTTTGGATATCACAAAGCTTTAGATATAAATTAGAATGTAATAAGAAGCTTTCAGCATTGCACCTTTCCAGACACTGATAATTCATTTGCCTTTATTGTTTCAAAAGTCAATTTTCAACACAAAAAAAGTTGAAATTATTAACTCAAATAATTGCAAATATATACTTTGGTAATTTGCCTTTCGCATCACTATCAACAAAATAATCAAGGGTGACTAAATATGAAATGTTCCTGCATGATCTTCATCGTGAACAATTGTCAAGGTATGATGTTTGCGTGTTGAAATGTTATAAAGAACTTATGTCATAAAAACACAACTTGTAAAATTGTGTCTTTCCATATTATTCTGCAAGTAAGCCTTGGAAGGAAGAGACACTATTCCGTCCTACAGAAGCCATTTAGAAATGTGTGACATGTTCAGCACTTTGAGTCAGTCGGTGCCCGGACCTCAGTCGGCTGTATGACCGTCTCCTCGTTCTCTTTTGTCGGCTCCGCCCCGTGCTGTTCTATAAGGGTGTCTGACCCGCTGCCGCTATCCCCACTGTGAGGTCTGACCCGCCGCGCGCTGTCACCACTGTCGGCCCTCTGTGTGCGCGGCAGGTGGTGGTGGACGTCTCTGCCCTGACGCGCGGCGTGCGTCTGCTCAGTGTGGAGGTGCCGCTGACAGCGGTGTCGGCCGGACCGGCTGCCTCTCCGGCGGCCGACATTGAGCGCGGCACGTGTCCGCCGCCGTTCGGGCCGCTGCAGCTGTTGCAGTCGGCGGCGCAGCTGTCCGTCTCCGTGTCGCTGGCCGTGCCGCTGGACCTGCTGCCGCGGCCGGCGCCGGCGCGCTGCGCCTACGGCCGCCTGCTGGCCGTCGTCTCGCAGCGCGGCCTGCAGCGCAGCGGCGTGCTGCAGCTCATCCAACAGCTCAACGAGCCGCCCAGCCCGGCGGCGGCCGAGGGCGCCGCGCCGCGCCGGCCCGGCGACGTCAGCACGCCGGGCATCAGCGGCTTCTGCCTGGCCGACCGGCAGCTGCACCTGCTGTTCGCCGAGGGGCGCGCCGACGCCGAGCTGGAACAGACGGCGGCCGCGCCGCGCGCTCTGCCGCGCCGCGACGCTCGACTCTGCCACCACTCGGGCCTACTGTTGGGAGCGCCTGTACCCGCGCCAGCCGGCCGCGTTCCGCGTGCTCGAGGACCGCCCGCTACGCGCCCAGCTGCTCGACACCCGCCTCTACACGTTACAGAAACAGGAGCCGGCGCGCGCCGTCCGCGCCATCAGAGAGTGCTTCCGCACGCAGTGGCTGTCGGAAAATGAACCTGCTTCCCAACGAGGCCGGCCTGCAACAACTGCTGGCCGGCTGTTGGCCGAAAAAAAAAAACGCCTTCAACCGGATGTCAGTTGTCAAATCAACGCGTATTAATGCATTCACTAGGATGGGCTTACGTAAAGCTGTAGAATTGCAAATATATAATGGCACTGTTTTTGATCCGTTCGGTATGCATTGGTATCATATGATCTCTCATTCACAGACGATCAGCTGCGAAGACCCAGATCCGTAGTAGAGGGCTCATCGAGTCCGGGTCCAGCTCCCCGTACTTCCTCCACTTTGGAAACACCGCAGCGCAGATCACAGTTATACATAATATTTAGTTTTCATTCACTTCATAACCGAAGGTTGTTTGATAGGTGATATGCTGCTTGAGTTGCACCCCGGTATATCAATACGAAGCTTCCGTCCCTGCCACATACCAGTGAAGGAGGCGGCGGCGGAGGCGGCCGGGGCCGGGCTGCCCTGCCCACCGACACAGTCTGTGAAATGCCCCAACAACCTTTAAAATTCAACAGGCTTCATGAATGTTTTTTTGCACCATATTTTCTCGCGTATATGAAAGCTCTAAAATGTACAATATTCCTTTCAGCCACAAGCGATATAAAAGCTCTACAAAACGTCATGTCTCTGTGTGCAAGAAAGACACATATATTGTGTATAATCGAGCGTACATGATCTGCAGCGCTGCGGAGGGCTGCTCGGTTGCCGCTTTTTACCAGTCGGCTCTAGGTCGGACATATGGGTAAACAAAATGGAATAGTAATATTAAACAATGCTACCTGCTGATGCTACTGGGCCTCTCATTGGTGAAGAACTGGCAGCCAGCCAGCGTGTTTTTGTGAGAACTGTTTTAACAGCAGCAACCGAACGGCTCTCGGGCCAGCGACCAGTGAGCGTAGACAGCACAGCGCTCCGTTAGGCATCGGCGGGCAAGCACGCATTAGCTGTGGACGGACCGGCCGCCCGAACATATTTGTCGGTATCGAAAGTATCGTGAACCAAATGACTGCTAGCGAAAAAAGGACTGCCTCTCGTATCCATGAAAACATGTGTTATACAAAAGTACATAATTGCTTAGTTGTCGCCAGTCACTCATTGCACCATGGCGTCAGTGTGGGGCCGCGCCCCGAATCATCTCAATCGCCAGGCAAAGCATCTCAATCGACAGGCACATGGTAGTCCAGCTACGAATCCGAGCCGCGGCATCCCGTCTATGTATCTACATTACACCACAATCGAACACTGTCGGGCCACCCGAGACAGCAGTCTCCAATGTAACATCAAAACCCGCCACTCGTCTAATATCAGAAAAATGAGCATTGAGTACCTACCGAATATCGACTACAGAAGATTACAATGGGGTGCAGATCTAGCAAGAGTGTCGCGGTTCGTCTCGGCACGGCTTACAGGCCGCCGAGCCCGCGCAGGTGACCGCCAGCTCCACCTGTTCCACCTCCGGCGCGGAAGCTCGATCACAAGACTGACCTCAGTCGGCGCTCTGTGCTCGGCACAGGGCGACCGGGTCAGGAGCGGGCCGCTGCCGCCAGGGCCGCGGCCACCAGCCACGCGGCAGCGCCCGCGCACCGGCCGCCACCACCCGCTCAGCCCAGAT